TTTAGGCCATTGAATAATAGAATAAAAAAAAAAGTTTCGCCTTCCATCTCCGAAAGTCATTTTTAGTTTTTTTTTTTATATCCACAACCATTGCATAGCACTTTTTTCGATTCCATTTTCAATGTCCATTTCTTTTCATTACAAACAAACTTACTTTATACATATATATTACAATAGCTGCTAATGTATGAGATAATATAAGGCAAAAAACAGCAACAAAAGAAAGTGGGGAAGTAAGAAGAAATGAAAATGATAGCAAACATTTTTTCCCACAATTTTATTGCATTTACGTTCTGCTTTCGTATATAAGAAAGTTTCGAGGATCTATGGGAAAACTTAAGTGTATGGTGATAGCACAAAAATCGACCATTCGTAAAAAAAGAGAAAGAAAATCCGATGAAGGTAAAAAGATATAAAGAATTTTAATGGTGCAAGTAAAAATCTTTTTAATTTTTATTTTGTCACGTTTCGTTCTATTTTTATTTGGAATTGTCCATTTGAGCTTGATTTTGAGTAGTGGTGATGTTGAGGCTTCATTTTGTCTCTTTTTCATAAATTTTTGTTTCAAATTTCAAATTATTTTCCAAAGTGAAGTTTAAGATTAGTCTTGCCACTTTTTTCTATCAATTTTTCAACTTTTCAGCTAATTTTAATGATTCAATGCTGAGAAATCGTCAAAATACTTTTCGAAGTGACAAAACCACGTGTTCACAAAAATTTAAAAATTTATAAAAACCGTTAAAATTTATTTATGAAATCTAATTCGGAGCAGAGTTCCAATATTAAAAATAACCAATTTCCTCAATCAATAAATTTCTTTACTTATTTTCATCGGGGATAAAAGAAATGACTCTGAGTCCTTACTGATATTGGTTCGTTGAACATTAAAGTTATTTGTTGCTCTCGGTTCCGAATCGTGAGACAATTTTGATATAATTTGATGTCTATAAATATCTAAATGCTCAAAGGAAATAAGATTTGTTGTTTTTGCTACGTGAACTTTTTTGCTCTCTTCTTGGCTCCTTTTCCTATTTTCTGAAATGGAAATGCTTGAGACGGAAAATTGTTCTACTTTATGGTTTATGACTTTAAGATTGTTATACTGACACCATTACAAGTATCTTTCTTATCCACACCATTCAATTGCGTGGAAATTGCTTCAGTTTAACATTTTTTTTTTCAGGGTAAAATGAGAAGTCATTTCTCAGGGTCTTTGCAATTTCAATACTCTTTTTTTCGTGTTCAGTCAAGCATGACATATCTATTACTGAAAGGATCGTGCCGTGAATATGCATGTAAGTATTTTAAGAGCCTTTAACTATACTGTAATGGAAAAGGAGGAAAAATGTATTTTTGTAAGACTTTCTTTTGGATGAAAAAAATTTTGGCAGCTGATGTGGATACATATTTTATAAGTTTGTGCAAGGATGAGTCACTAGAAAGAGTGTGTAAAGGTATTGACAACCAAAGCATATACTTAGCTGAAATGGTTCCATAAGGAAGGTTTAAAGTTATTCAGCATAAGCTTGGTTTCAATCTTTTGAGGGTTTTTAAGCCCCCTACCCCACCCTCTCCTGAATAGATCCAATACACATGCTAATTATATTCATTAACATCAAAACCAGAGTTGCAATGGTTCTAGTCGATCGCAACTCTAACTTTGGAGCGAAAATCCTAAAACTCCCTAGTTCAATTCTAAAGAGCCAAAGAGTGTCCATCCCTAGCAAATCCATTACAGATAGAATTTTCCGCCAAACTTGCTTAACATTTCTCATGCAAAATTGAAAAGTTAATAACAAGAAAGCTTTTAAAAGCTCACATTTTCGACAATGAACATTAATATATTTTTTCCACATTAAAAGCTACATTTTTCAAAAAAAATATTCAAATTATGTTTCTCCACAGAACATCTTACAGCAATAAATCTCTAAATTTTAGACACGACTGATTCTTCCATGAAGAAGCTTTCAAAGAGCTTTACTGTCTAAGTCATTCACTAAATGAAAATTATGAAACCATGATAATAAAGAACAGCAATAGCAATAATAATTAAAATTTTTGCTTCTATCGAAAAGAATTTCAATTAAAAGAATCGAGCAGAAATCTTTTTTCCGATCTATTTCTCACGCTTATCAGATTTCTGCTAGAAAATTATGTGATTAATCTCTTTTGAAACTTTTATTTCTGTATTCGCGTTTGCTCATTCCACGAGCGACTCATCCTCCATGTCGAACAAGAGACACAGAGAGAGAGAGAATATCGATGGAAATTAAGAATCAGATTGCTGAAAATAAAAATCATTAATTAAATGTTTGTGACAGTTGATAAGTGGGGAATTTTATTTTCATCATCTAGTCATTGTTGAAGTAGACCCGTGCCTATAAATATTGTAAACATCTATTCATAGCAACGGATGGTGATGTAAGAAGAATGTAGAAAAGTTTGCAAAGGATTAGATATCTCTTAAAGCTTGTTGTTGAGTGAGCGCATTTTTGGAGAAAAAATTAGTATTTATCAAATTAGTGTGAAAATAGAGAATTTTTGTGGATCAAGGATCGTTCACATGTGCAACTTAGTATCTTCGTTTGGAAAACAAAATTAACTTATTCAGACAAAGTAAACCCTTTTAAAATTAGTGACATAAAATCTCAGCTAGTCACAGTAACCATAGCACCAGAATTCTAAAAATAAACTTTAAATTAATAAGATTAAAAGCAACAAAAAACAAGTAAAGAGTGAGGAAATATAAAACTTTGTAAGTATTCATTAACAACATTTCTTTAATCTAAACTTTATAAACAATTTACTTCCTCATTTCAAAGAACCCACTCATCACAATGGCAATAATTCAGAGATTTACCTTGAATAACATTCCACTCTTTATTTACAATTCTGTGTTTCGAATAAACAACAAGCACAAGACCGTGGGAAAAAATTACTATTTGTTTCGTGCTTCATCTTAAGTAGCTGCCCCACGATTAAGATATTGAATAGAATAGTTTTATTTACTGATGAATTGTTTTCATTTTAACTGTAAATTTTATTCTCTGTTCCTTTCTCGTTTGACTGTTGTTTAAAATATAAAACAAAATTGTTCTATTGAAAGTTGATTTTTTCAGTTTAAATTATGCAGAATTGAAATGTGGTGGATGAATTGTTGTACTTGTCATGAGAGGTTTAAGGTTTTTACAGTCAAATTTTATGTTTTTGAGCATTTTACATTTGGTAAACTTTTCAAAAAATTTAAAAATATTTTGAAACCGACTAAGGTTCACCATAAAAATGAAATTAATTAATAATTGGATTTTTGAGTTCATTGTATAGGTTTTATGTTTTTAAGAGCATCAAAGTTGAAAATTGAACTCCTAAAACTAATAAAACTCATTCGATTCTTTCCAAATACTTTCAATTTAATCTCAAAACTGTAAAAAACAGCTATGACTCAATTTTAACTCAATATTGATTCTTCCACTCGACCAGAATTTCCCAACTCAGAGATCAAACTTACTCAACAGGAAATAGAGCATAAATTACCATTTCTAATGGAATTCTAATCGACAAGCATCATTCAATTGTAATATAATCAACAGACACAGGTATGCATTTTCTATTACTAGAATGACTTAATGTACATTAAAGTTGAGATGTATGTAGATCCCTAGCAGAAATTTACTAGTAATTTCCTAGTAATTTACTGGATAACTTTCCATTTGCTACTTGCTATTTACTAGTCAAAATCCAAGTTCAAATCATCGCCAAAGACCCGCATTTTTACTTGCTAATTGACTAGTCAAACGCAAATTTTTAAAAAATTTTAATGAATATAACCGTTGATTTCCACGTGTTCTTTTGATTTTTCTTATTTGTGTAAATTATTGTAAAAGTATTAAGTTAAAGTTAATTAAAGTACACTAACACTATGAAAAAATATAAAAGACTTAATTTAATTAAGTCGAACGCCCATGACTCGCACGTAAACCTGAGAAAGATAAATAATTAATTGAAAGTCACATACAATTTTGGATCTAACTTAAAAAGGTGATTTCTGCGCGCTCTTGTGTATATGGCAAATGCCAAATTTAGAATAAAATTTTTTATGACGCAAAAAATTCTTTTTTTGATGATTTTTCGTAAGATTCGTACTTAAGCAGATTTGATCAAACATTTTACATGGTAATTTGATATTAATTTGCAATTAAAGATCAAGTGTAATTTACTAACAGTAAGTTGTTTTAATAATAACTAGTAAATTCCAAATTGTAGAATAGAAAGACTAGCAATTTGCTATTTGGTCTCGCTAGGGGATGTGAGTATTCAGAATTAATAATGATATACAACTAGAACGAAATGAGAGAATCGAGAGAGAAAACTAGTAATGAAGCCGATCACGCTTCATGGGAATATTCACACAATCCTATAGAACTCTCCATGTATTGTTCAGAAAATCTTGAAAAATCTTCTCTCAATAAAATGTAAGACTTAATATCAACATTTTGCTGCATTATCAACAAAGTATACCACGCATTAGGAACACGTTTTATAACGAAAATCATGATTCAAAAATTTGCCAATTTTTAAAAGTATAAATATGAAAAATACGACTTATGTAGAAAGCCATTAACTTTCACACTTAGTAAACGATAGATTATAAAATTGAAAAATCACTCAAATTAATGCTCCGCAGTCAGTCTCTTATGTAGATCAGACTTCAACATAGGTTACAGTCTTGAAAAGTTTTGCAACTTGTGTGCTCCGTTTCGTTCAACTGTTTATAGATTACAGTAGGTTTATAGGTTACAGGTGTAAAATAATGATCTCAGTAGTCTGAGAAAATAAAAATCAGTTGAAAAACACGAACAAAAACATTAAGACGTGTTTCATTAAAAATTAAAAATAAAACAACAGGTGTGTTGAACTCAGATCTTATAGATGACAGTAGGTTTAAAAATTACAGGTGTGTTGAACTTCAATATCAATATTTATTTTTAAATACTTTTAAGGTCATAGAAGACCACTCCGTTTCACTCCGTTTCGTTCAACTGTTTATAGATTACAGTAGGTTTATAGGTTACAGGTGTGTTGAACTCCACTCCGTTTCACTCCGTTTCGTTCAACTGTTTATAGATTACAGAAGATTTATAGGTTACAGATCGTACTGGATTTTTTTAAATTGGGTAAAATTTTCACGCCTTCACTTCGCTTCGCTCCGTTCAGGACGTAAAAATTTGTGAGCTTCGCTCAACCTAGTTTAGATTTATAGGTTACAGGTGTGTTGAACTCCACTCCGTTTCACTCCGTTTCGTTCAACTGTTTATAGATTACAGTAGGTTTATAGGTTACAGGTGTGTTGAACTCCACTCCGTTTCACTACGTTTCGTTCAACTGTTTATGGATTACAGTAGGTTTATAGGTTACAGGTGTGTTGAACTTCACTCCGTTTCGTTCAACTGTTTATAGATTACAGTAGGTTTATAGGTTACAGGTGTGTTGAACTCCACTCCGTTTCACTCCGTTTCGTTCAACTGTTTATAGATTACAGTAGGTTTATAGGTTACAGGTGTGTTGAACTCCACTCCGTTTCACTCCGTTTCGTTCAACTGTTTATAGATTACAGAAGATTTATAGGTTACAGATCGTACTGGATTTTTTTAAATTGGGTAAAATTTTCACGCCTTCACTTCGCTTCGCTCCGTTCAGGACGTAAAAATTTGTGAGCTTCGCTCAACCTAGTTTAGATTTATAAGTTACAGGTGTGTTGAACTCCACTCCGTTTCACTCCGTTTCGTTCAACTGTTTATAGATTACAGTAGGTTTATAGGTTACAGGTGTGTTGAACTCCACTCCGTTTCACTCCGTTTCGTTCAACTGTTTATAGATTACAGAAGATTTATAGGTTATAGATCGTACTGGATTTTTTTAAATTGGGTAAAATTTTCACGCCTTCACTTCGCTTCGCTCCGTTCAGGACGTAAAAATTTGTGAGCTTCGCTCAACCTAGTTAAGATTTATAGGTTACAGGTGTGTTGAACTCCACTCCGTTTCACTCCGTTTCGTTCAACTGTTTATAGATTACAGTAGGTTTATAGGTTACAGGTGTGTTGAACTCCACTCCGTTTCACTCCGTTTCATTCAACTGTTTAAAGATTACAGTAGATTTATAGGTTACAGATCGTACTGGATTTTTTTAAATTGGGTAAAATTTTCACGCCTTCACTTCGCTTCGCTCCGTTCAGGACGTAAAAATTTGTGAGCTTCGCTCAACCTAGTTTAGATTTATAGGTTACAGGTGTGTTGAACTCCACTCCGTTTCACTCCGTTTCGTTCAACTGTTTATAGATTACAGTAGGTTTAAAGGTTACAGGTGTGTTGAACTCCACTCCGTTTCACTCCGTTTCGTTCAACTGTTTATAGATTACAGTAGGTTTATAGGTTACAGGTGTGTTGAACTCCACTCCGTTTCACTCCGTTTCGTTCAACTGTTTATAGATTACAGTAGGTTTATAGGTTACAGGTGTGTTGAACTTCACTCCGTTTCACTCCGTTTCGTTCAACTGTTTATAGATTACAGTAGGTTTATAGGTTACAGGTGTGTTGAACTTCACTCCGTTTCACTCCGTTTCGTTCAACTGTTTATAGATTACAGTAGGTTTATAGGTTACAGGTGTGTTGAACTCCACTCCGTTTCACTCCGTTTCGTTCAACTGTTTATAGATTACAGTAGGTTTATAGGTTACAGGTGTGTTGAACTCCACTCCGTTTCACTACGTTTCGTTCAACTGTTTATGGATTACAGTAGGTTTATAGGTTACAGGTGTGTTGAACTTCACTCCGTTTCACTCCGTTTCGTTCAACTGTTTATAGATTACAGTAGGTTTATAGGTTACAGGTGTGTTGAACTCCACTTCGTTGCACTTCGTTACGTTCAACTGTTTATAGATTACAGTAGGTTTATAGGTTACAGGTGTGTTGAACTCCACTCCGTTTCACTCCGTTTCGTTCAACTGTTTATAGATTACAGTAGGTTTATAGGTTACAGGTGTGTTGAACTCCACTCCGTTTCACTCCGTTTCGTTCAACTGTTTATAGATTACAGTAGGTTTATAGGTTACAGGTGTGTTGAACTCCACTCCGTTTCGTTCAACTGTTTATAGATTACAGTAGGTTTATAGGTTACAGATCGTACTGGATTTCTTTAAATTGGGTAAAATTTTCACGCCTTCACTTCGCTTCGCTCCGTTCAGGACGTAAAAATTTGTGAGCTTCGCTCAACCTAGTTAAGATTTATAGGTTACAGGTGTGTTGAACTCCACTCCGTTTCACTCCGTTTCGTTCAACTGTTTATAGATTACAGTAGGTTTATAGGTTACAGGTGTGTTGAACTTCACTCCGTTTCACTCCGTTTCGTTCAACTGTTTATAGATTACAGTAGGTTTATAGGTTACAGATCGTACTGGATTTTTTTAAATTGGGTAAAATTTTCACGCCTTCACTTCGCTTCGCTCCGTTCAGCACGTAAAAATTTGTGAGCTTCGCTCAACCTAGTTTAGATTTATAGGTTACAGGTGTGTTGAACTCCACTCCGTTTCACTCCGTTTCGTTCAACTGTTTATGGATTACAGTAGGTTTATAGGTTACAGGTGTGTTGAACTTCACTCCGTTTCACTCCGTTTCGTTCAACTGTTTATAGATTACAGTAGGTTTATAGGTTACAGGTGTGTTGAACTCCACTCCGTTTCACTACGTTTCGTTCAACTGTTTATGGATTACAGTAGGTTTATAGGTTACAGGTGTGTTGAACTTCACTCCGTTTCACTCCGTTTCGTTCAACTGTTTATAGATTACAGTAGGTTTATAGGTTACAGGTGTGTTGAACTCCACTTCGTTGCACTTCGTTACGTTCAACTGTTTATAGATTACAGTAGGTTTATAGGTTACAGGTGTGTTGAACTCCACTCCGTTTCACTCCGTTTCGTTCAACTGTTTATAGATTACAGTAGGTTTATAGGTCACAGGTGTGTTGAACTCCACTCCGTTTCACTCCGTTTCGTTCAACTGTTTATAGATTACAGAAGATTTATAGGTTACAGATCGTACTGGATTTTTTTAAATTGGGTAAAATTTTCACGCCTTCACTTCGCTTCGCTCCGTTCAGGACGTAAAAATTTGTGAGCTTCGCTCAACCTAGTTTAGATTTATAGGTTACAGGTGTGTTGAACTCCACTCCGTTTCACTCCGTTTCGTTCAACTGTTTATGAATTACAGTAGGTTTATAGGTTATAGGTGTGTTGAACTCCACTCCGTTTCACTCCGTTTCGTTCAACTGTTTATAGATTACAGGTTTATAGGTTAACCAAGATCCAGTAAAGTTTTAAGCATGTCCGAAACTTAAAACCAAGATCCAGTAAAGTTTTAAGCATGTCTTAACTTAAAACCAAGATCCAGTTAAGTTTTAAGCATGTCTGAAACTTAAAATCAAGATCCAGTAAAGTTTTAAGCATGTCTAAACTTAAAACCAAGTTCCAGTAAAGTTTTAAGCATGTCTGAAACTTAAAACCAAGATCCAGTTAAGTTTTAAGCATGTCTGAAACTTAAAACCAAGATCCAGTAAAGTTATAGGCATGTCTGAAACTTAAAACCAAGATCCAGTTAAGTTTTAAGCATGTCTGAAACTTAAAATCAAGATCCAGTAAAGTTTTAAGCATGTCTAAACTTAAAACCAAGTTCCAGTAAAGTTTTAAGCATGTCTGAAACTTAAAACCAAGATCCAGTTAAGTTTTAAGCATGTCTGAAACTTAAAACCAAGATCCAGTAAAGTTATAGGCATGTCTGAAACTTAAAACCAAGATCCAGTTAAGTTTTAAGCATGTCTGAAACTTAAAACCAAGATCCAGTAAAGTTATAGGCATGTCTGAAACTTAAAACCAAGATCCAGTAAAGTTTTAAGCATGTCTGAAACTTAAAACCAAGATCCAGTAAAGTTTTAAGCATGTCTGAAACTTAAAACCAAGATCCAGTTAAGTTTTAAGCATGTCCGAAACTTAAAACCAAGATCCAGTAAAGTTTTAAGCATGTCTGAAACTTCAAACCAAGATCCAGTTACGTTTTAAACATGTCTGAAACTTAAAACCAAGATCCAGTAAAGTTTTAAGCATGTCTGAAACTTAAAACCAAGATCCAGTAAAGTTTTAAGCATGTCTGAAACTAAAAACCAACATCCAGTAAAGTTTTAAGCATGCCTGAAACTTAAAACCAAGATCCAGTAAAGTTTTAATCATGTCTGAAACTTAAAACCAAGATCCAGTAAAGTTTTAAGCATGTCTGAAACTTAAAACCATGATTTAGTTAAATTTTAAGCATGTCTGAAACTTAAAACCAAGATCCAGTAAAGTTTTAAGCATGTCTATAACTAAAAACCAAGATCCAGTAAAGTTTTAAGCATGTCTATAACTTAAAACCAAGATCCAGTAAAGTTTTAAGCATGTCTGAAACTTAAAACCAAGATCCAGTAAAGTTTTAAGCATGTCTGAAACTTAAAACCAAGATCCAGTAAAGTTTTAAGCATGTCTGAAACTTAAAATCAAGATCCAATAAAGTTTTAAGCATGTCTTAACTTAAAACCAAGATCCAGTAAAGTTTTAATCATGTTTGAAACTTAAAACCAAGATCCAGTAAAGTTTTAAGCATGTCCGAAACTTAAAACCAAGATCCAGTAAAGTTATAGTCATGTCTGAAACTTAAAACCAAGATCCAGTAAAGTTTTAAGCATGTCTAAACTTAAAACCAAGTTCCAGTAAAGTTTTAAGCATGTCTTAACTTAAAACCAAGATCCAGTTAAGTTTTAAGCATGTCTGAAACTTAAAACCAAGATCCAGTAAAGTTATAGGCATGTCTGAAACTTAAAACCAAGATCCAGTAAAGTTTTAATCATGTCTGAAACTTAAAACCAAGATCCAGTTAAGTTTTAAGCATGTCTGAAACTTAAAACCAAGATCCAGTAAAGTTATAGGCATGTCTGAAACTTAAAACCAAGATCCAGTAAAGTTTTAAGCATGTCTGAAACTTAAAACCAAGATCCAGTAAAGTTTTAAGCATGTCTGAAACTTAAAACCAAGATCCAGTTAAGTTTTAAGCATGTCCGAAACTTAAAACCAAGATCCAGTAAAGTTTTAAGCATGTCTGAAACTTCAAACCAAGATCCAGTTACGTTTTAAACATGTCTGAAACTTAAAACCAAGATCCAGTAAAGTTTTAAGCATGTCTGAAACTTAAAACCAAGATCCAGTAAAGTTTTAAGCATGTCTGAAACTAAAAACCAACATCCAGTAAAGTTTTAAGCATGCCTGAAACTTAAAACCAAGATCCAGTAAAGTTTTAATCATGTCTGAAACTTAAAACCAAGATCCAGTAAAGTTTTAAGCATGTCTGAAACTTAAAACCATGATTTAGTTAAGTTTTAAGCATGTCTGAAACTTAAAACCAAGATCCAGTAAAGTTTTAAGCATGTCTATAACTAAAAACCAAGATCCAGTAAAGTTTTAAGCATGTCTATAACTTAAAACCAAGATCCAGTAAAGTTTTAAGCATGTCTGAAACTTAAAACCAAGATCCAGTAAAGTTTTAAGCATGTCTGAAACTTAAAACCAAGATCTAGTAAAGTTTTAAGCATGTCTGAAACTTAAAATCAAGATCCAATAAAGTTTTAAGCATGTCTTAACTTAAAACCAAGATCCAGTAAAGTTTTAATCATGTTTGAAACTTAAAACCAAGATCCAGTAAAGTTTTAAGCATGTCCGAAACTTAAAACCAAGATCCAGTAAAGTTATAGTCATGTCTGAAACTTAAAACCAAGATCCAGTAAAGTTTTAAGCATGTCTAAACTTAAAACCAAGTTCCAGTAAAGTTTTAAGCATGTCTGAAACTTAAAACCAAGATCCAGTTAAGTTTTAAGCATGTCTGAAACTTAAAACCAAGATCCAGTAAAGTTATAGGCATGTCTGAAACTTAAAACCAAGATCCAGTAAAGTTTTAATCATGTCTGAAACTTAAAACCAAGATCCAGTTAAGTTTTAAGCATGTCTGAAACTTAAAACCAAGATCCAGTAAAGTTATAGGCATGTCTGAAACTTAAAACCAAGATCCAGTAAAGTTTTAAGCATGTCTGAAACTTAAAACCAAGATCCAGTAAAGTTTTAAGCATGTCTGAAACTTAAAACCAAGATCCAGTTAAGTTTTAAGCATGTCTGAAACTTAAAACCAAGATCCAGTAAAGTTTTAAGCATGTCTATAACTAAAAACCAAGATCCAGTAAAGTTTTAAGCATGTCTATAACTTAAAACCAAGATCCAGTAAAGTTTTAAGCATGTCTGAAACTTAAAACCAAGATCCAGTAAAGTTTTAAGCATGTCTGAAACTTAAAACCAAGATCCAGTAAAGTTTTAAGCATGTCTGAAACTTAAAACCAAGATCCAGTTAAGTTTTAAGCATATCCGAAACTTAAAACCAAGATCCAGTAAAGTTATAGGCATGTCCGAAACTTAAAACCAAGATCCAGTTAAGTTTTAAGCATGTCCGAAACTTAAAACCAAGATCCAGTAAAGTTATAGGCATGTTTGAAACTTAAAACCAAGATCCAGTAAAGTTTTAAGCATGTCCGAAACTTAAAACCAAGATCCAGTAAAGTTTTAAGCATGTCTGAAACTTAAAATCAAGATCCAGTAAAGTTTGAGAAAAAGTACAAGTGGGCTTTGACAATTACAATTTCAATCAATTTTATAATTAAGATAAGAAAAAGTTCGTAGTGAACTTTGAAAATTTGTTGAAAGTGAAAAATCATTGTGGAAAATTAATTCAATTATTTCACACGTATTTAACACACTTTCACAGACATTGTGAAAGTAAAATTGAAATTGTGCTGTCGTTGGAAATAAGATCCAGTAAGTATAAGCCTGTTTGAAACAAAGACAAAATAATCGAGCAGGAAAAAAATTAAGAATCATACCAAAAAAAAAAAAATTCCAATTGCAAAAAAAAATATTTTCATTATGATACAAATGAAGTTTGTATTTAAAGACATAGGTACAGTATGCTGAAGGAACTTGCTAGTTCCAACATTTTTTCACATACATTTAACTTAATGCATACTGTCACAACCATTTTATTAATATCACACTTATACCAACAAATATTTTCTGTTGTATGAATGTAAACAAATGTGTTTTGGAATAATCGGTTATAATTTGCCAAAAAATGATAGTTTTTTGCATCTTGTGCCTCACTGGAAGCATCTTATGACTCCAAAAACTATACAGCAAATCTATGACCCAATATCTATCAGATAAAAGTAACATTAAGGCTTGATATTGAGTTTAAATTGAGTTATCGCTCCGAATAACTAACTAACTAACTAACAGAATGCCTTTTTTGGCGATTTCGCGGAACTGGAAGCACGAAATAAGATGCAGTTTTTACCATTCGATAGGTATTTCGAGGCACACACTTTTACATATCACACTTATGGAGTGATTCGGTAAGACTGAAGCAGCAAGTTAAAAAAACTGATTTTCTGTAAAACCAAAAACAATATATTCACAAAAATTGAAAATTTTGTGTGAATATGAAAAACTTTACCAATAAATTTTCCTCACAATTCTGACATCCTTCGCAGACAGCAAAAAACATCGGCATCACATTTGCTAATAAACCATAATACACAACCACGATAAGTGGCTCTTGAATTTCTTATTTCCTTTTTTTGCTGTATATACTTTCGTTTATCGTTCGCCCAGGTGCTCACCGAGCTATGCTCTTCTTCATATTGCAATATTATAAGTTTGAAAATATTTAAGCACAATATATTGGGGGAGTTGGTGATAAATGACGTCCCATTATTTTTTAGCGCATTTTTTTAAGATATTAGAATAGTCTGAAGACGGTTTATTTGGTCGTATCCTCAATAACTTTGTGGTTGGAGCATGCGATTAGAAACCATGACAGCAAGGGTTCGATTCCTACTTGGGCCAATATGATAAAAAGCTAGACATTTTTCTGTTAAATATATTCAATCAGATCTTAACTTCTTTAAGGATCAAAAATGAGCTAAAGCAGCTGATTGAAAATGCAATTTTCAGTTGTCGTCATTTATGAAACAACTTCCATATCGAAATCATTCTAAACATAGATTGAACGAGAAAATTGAAAAATTCCAATTGGTAACAAAATTGATTTACGCGCATTTTTAAACACTAATGAAGTCGCTTTACATCTTCATGTTCACTCAAATTCTCTTTGATCATTACAATTTCTCAAAATTACATTGTTGCTCTGCTTAACAACACAAATAGCTACAGCAAA